TGTCAAAAATCAATTAACAGGTCTCTCTATCAGTAGAAATCGAATGATTTTTGAATTATTCAAATTGGTTGATTTGCACGCCCAAAATTGTGGATGAAAAATTGAATTCATACATTCATACATACGCATACTTTCATTACATCGTTTCATTCATACATACATACATAACTTTCAAAACGTGAAGGTATGCACAAACTTTCATTTTTGTTTTTGCGAAAATTATAGTAACTTTCCCTACGGGAAGTTAAAAAGATATGAATAAATAATTTATCAAAATACACCTGCGCGTAAAACTTTTTTGAGGTTACCTTCGCCTAACTTTTGGAAGAGGTTCAATATGAACATGTAATCAAGATGTATAAAAATTTGTGTAATTTGATTATATGAGATCTTACAGTAACTGTCTAGTTAATACAGAGAAAAATAGAACGTTAGAACGTTAGATTAATTTATATTGTAAAATTTTTGTTACAGATTTGATGATAGTTCAGTATAATGATTTAAACCAACCTTGAGCTATGCATTTGTTGTGAGCAATTGAGAGTAAATTATAATAGCCAACGATAAAACTTTTAGATATTTTTTATATCAAGGTAAACGTACCATATTACGGGATGTTAAGAAACGTTTGACTTTAAAGACGAATTTTAGAGAAAATAGGAAAGTGGACGAACTAAATCTGTTATATTTTATATTAATTAGACCTTTGAGATTATTATAAAACAAGATTTTTCGTCGTAGAACGTCATTTACAGAAATAATCGGCATTTTGGTGAACCACGCGTTTGTCTCTAATTCCGTGATAAAATTCGGTTCATGAACTTAATGCCGGGAGTCTTTTTTTTTTTTTAATTTATTTTATTTGGCCTCTTATTTACAAACTAGCCATATACAAAGTTTCCTACATTTATATTCTAATTTTACATTTAACTAAAAAATTATATATAATTTTATAATAATCAATATTTGACAGTAAACTAAATAAATTAAACGGTTTAACTAAATTTTTAATTCTATATAATTTATATAATAAATAATCCCTATTTTCTTGATATCTGCTGCAAGTTAAAATTATATGTTCCAAAGATCCCACATCCTTCCCACAGTCACAAATAGCTGACTCTCTCATCTTTATTTTGAACAGGTGTTCTGGGAAATGTCCATGGTTACACCTTATTCTGTTCATCGTACTTATAAAGTATCTATCTTCATTTTTGAATAAACCAAGGTACCTTTTTAACAAAGTCGTTAACTCCTTTATAATATTTTCCTTTATATCTTGATGTTATTTGCCAATCCGTTTTCCATTTATTAACTGCTTTATTTTTCATAACTTTTATTATATCTTTATTTAATACTTGGTTATATTCCATTCCCTTTAAGCAAGCGTATTTGGCTAATTCATCAGCTTTTTCGTTTCCTGAAATTCCGGAGTGACCTTTTACCCATCCTATTCTTATATCCTTTCCATTTTCTTTAATTTTCTCCAAATCTTGCAAGATATCAAAATAAATTTTTTCTTCTAAATTTAGATCTCTAAAAAAACACTTGTAATTTATTGATACAGCTCATGCTGTCCGTAATTATAATTGTTTTATTATAATTCTGTTCTTTAGCTTTTCTTATGGCCTCCTTAATTGCAAATAACTCCGCTGTATAGACAGAAACACACCCTGGTAACTTGTAGCATTCACTTGTTTGATCGGTTTCTTTATATATTGCAAAACCTACATTGTCCATATCCTTCGATCCATCCGTAAATATAACTTCTGCATCTTGATTATTATTACCAGATTTTAATAAATCGATATTTATAATATTATCAAATATACAACTGTCAAAATATATTTTATTATAATAAGGATGAATGCTGAATGAATACATACTTTCTTGATATTTAATTACTTCTCTAAAACTCTGAATAATAATAGGTATTTTTTTATTCAGCCAATAAATATTACGTTCGCATTCATTATTTAAATCATTAATTCTGTCATATATTTCGGATGAATTAAAATTAATTTTTTTCAACATATATTTGTCACTCAACCATTCATATCTGACTTTTAGTGGTTAATGCCGGGAGTCGTTGTACACTATTCCGTGATAGCGCTCGAAGCATACATTTACACCGTAAATACATACAACTACCGTATTTACGAATATGTCCCTAATTCGCTGCATACATACACACATACCCGCACACTAGTGATTCGTGCTCTATAAATATCCTGCGTCATTGATAGAAAACAAGTGCACTACGGGTTTTGCCCTATTTCTATAATCTTTGACATTACACAAATGATTTATCGTAGATGAAATAAAAGAAACATCTGATTCTCTCATTACTACCATATTTTATGTATATGGGAATAATGGAAATAAGTAAAAAAAAAATCATATATTTCTTGCTAAAGAGTAGTAATTTCAAACTCAATTATTAGGGTTAAAATAAAAAAACATATACCGTAATTAGGTCACAATATTCTGTGGTCATAACCAAACTTAGTAACACCAAAAACACCACTAAATTAAGCATAATTGAGAATAAAAGACTAAAATAATTCAGGTCTACTTTTCCTAATTGCGTGACACTCACGGAATTACGTTCAATGCCTCAATTGTGTGAACTTAATTACGGGAGTCACAAAATTGACACTTTCTTAAAACATATTTGCTCGATTTAACTATAAAACTTATCACTTATTAATTCTTAACAATAATATCACAAATTTATATTGAATAAGCTTACCAGTGTCACATACAAATCTTAAGCAATTGTAGCGTCACATTAACCTAACTAACAACAGGACTGTACGTAATGGCGATCGGGTTATGACTGATGCGTTCAGAAGCTCTATATGGTTTTAAAAACTAATATTTAAAATGGAAAATCGTGCTTATTTGATGAGATTCGAATTATAGTTTATGTGGTATTGTTTAAAATTATTATTCACCGACTGTTTTTTATTTTGCGATCAAAATGAAAAACTCCCGTAATAATGTACTATCCCGGAATAGTGTACTTTTACCTTATTCGCATTGCATATATATTGTAACGACAATTGGTATTGTCGTCAAAAGGGTTGCATAACTTCCAGTGCAATTGGACTCCCCCACCTATGTCTACTAGGGTGCCTGTAATATAAGGTCCAGTCTGGGGTTGAAAGATAGCATTAATAATTGTAACATACTCTGTCGATGGTCGTTCGTGTCCAGGGCGCCAGCCCTTGGACCCGCTTTGTGTATAGTTAGGGCTTCCAATACCGTACTAAAATCTGAATACCGGTATTCGATATTTGGAATTTGTAATACCGGGATCCCGGTATTTATACCGGTATTATTAATGAAAAATTTACTAGTCATATTTTTATTTACCGCAGTTGTTATATTGACATATTAACATTATTATTGTTCTAAAATGAGTACATATTAATAATTTTATTACATAGAGAATAGGAGTAGATAGATACAAAAAAAACGTGCAAGTAAATAATTATATATTTAACTTGTATTTTACATTTTACATTTAATAGGCTAGTATGGAATTATATATTTAAGGAAAAAAACAAATTCAATTAATAAGTTATATATTGTTTATTAAAATATGCTTTTAAAAAATATAAACAATCAATTGTTTAATCTTCAAGCGAGGACCAAATTTTAGTACAAATATAACAAGCCGATAACGTTTTTCTCATTCTACATTTGTCGGCACAATTTTCATAAAGAAATTATCCGAGTACATTATAAGTCGATATGAATTAGTACTTGCAATTGTTAGTATAGTGTATTTATGTTATTTTAACTATATACCACTTGATGATTTTACTTGTAAATTTTAGTTATAATGAAATAATAAATAAATACGAATGATTGATAAGAAGATATACAATATAGAGAATTATAACGAGTCGATTGCATATTTTGTTTAAAATTCATTGATATTGAATTAGACATGAGGACAATGCACATGGACGACAAATAATTGTTATAAATGGGTTTCATTCTTTAGGTCGTATATAATATATAAACAATTGCTTTATCTTGCCGATGTGTCATACTCGGCAGAGTTGAGTCGGTAATACACATAAACAATGTAAAACTTATGAATGTGTATTGCGAAAGTTCAATTCTTAACAAAATACTGATAATCCCGAAATATCGATATTTTTGGTATCAATACCGGTATTGAATAATGGACAAAAATCGTCCGGGATCCCGGTATTCGAGATCACGTAATCCCGGTATTGTAAGCCCTATGTATAGTGGTGTGTGTGTTGTGCCAGGAGAGGAGAACCCGTTCCAGTAAAGGTCAGATGTATTATTGTTTTATAAACTATACCCTCCGTTATCCGTTGATACCGTTTTACGTTAGGCCGTTAATCCGTTATGTTAGTCTCTCGTTAGTAATTAATAAAGATTTATGAGTACGTTAGGTTGTAGGCAGAGGGCATGACAGTACGTAGGTATTGTCATGCCGTTACACCTGTAATAATTGGTAATAATTAAATAAGCTAAAAGTACATTCTGTTTCATTCGCGTAGTTAGTTGGCTTTTCCACAGGTAATTACAGGGTGGTTATAGAAGTCGGGTTTAGGAGTTGGTGTAACCCTTTCTTAATGAGAATGCAACTCTAGATGTAATATTTGGTAGTCGTTGCAATACCCTAAGAAGGGGGCATCAACCACTTAATCCGTCACAATATGCTTATTAAATATTACTAACATGACTTATGTAGACAATTAAAGGCAATAGCAAATTAAGTCTTATTACACATACAGGGCACATATTTTTTCTAACTCATCTAGTGAATAATACACTATAAACAAAAATACTTTAGTCAAACTCAATGGTTTGGTACGGTTTGGTTATTTTGGTATTCGTGACATAAAAAATTATAAACATCTTTTTGTAGAAATGTTGATTTTTAACGTTCATGCAATAAAATAGGAAAACAATAATTATTGTTTATCAATTTTGATTAAGTTTTCACGTACCTGCTGAACAGAATTTTCTTTGTTGATTATTTTTTCAGTAGTTCTTGTTTCATCTACGATCCACTTCTCAGATTTCTTGCGGCGCTTAGCGAACAATTCAGCACCTATTAGACATAACAAAATATGGCGTCAAGTTAAATAATGAAATATAGTATGGAAATGTAGTTAAGCATTTAATTAAGTATCATATTACTTTGTATTATAATATAATATATATATATATATATATATATACTAGCTGACCCGGCAAACGTTGTTTTGCCATCAAAAATATTTTGCCGTTTTCCAGAAGTTCTTATAATATAAATGATATATTAATATTAATGTTATATTCTTATTACACAAATTTCTTTACATTTCGATAATTAATTCCAACGAACCATAGTGTTTTGTTTAATTTAATTTTATTTATGTCAAATCGTAAAATAATTTTTTTAATCAATGAATAAATTAGATTTTAGTCTGAGTCAACGCAGTACCATTATACAAGTATATAATTTTTTATATAAATATCAGATTTTTCAAATATATATATCCAATATGCACTAAATTTTTAAATGCCAAAATATTTCCTTCTTGATCGAAATTTAATATAATATGATATAATTTATATCTATAATTTGTTTGGAAATATTGCCTATAACATAACTTGGAATAATTAATTTATTTGTTTCCTATTGAAGTCGTTAATTCTTTTTTGTGTAATGTCAAATTTTTGTTTATGATTAATTTTAAATTCAATATGCCGCTTTTTTATTGTGATTTCTGATCTATAAGGTTTTGATGAAGTTTTGGTATCCGAAATAATTTGGTAAGTTAATCAAATAAATATAAATTGTAAAATCTTTACATAATTATTTTCATAAATATTAACAAATGACATTTGACGTTTTTCATGTCAATATTTATTTAAATTTATAAACATTGATTATTAATTAGATTTAAAACTATAAATTGTGATTTTGAATATAGCATTTTATCTAATTCGGATATAAATGTTGGATATATTTATATATGTATGTTTTTGATTTATTTTTTTTTTGAACTGTCAATTTTTTTTTTTCAAAAATCATAAATCTTTTTTTCTCGAATTTTTCATAAATTTTGACATTTGACATTTTAGTGTGGTTTTTTTTTGTCATTTTCTGTCAAAATTTTTAGAAATTTATAAAAATTATATATTTATATTTCAAATTTACTTTTCAAAATTTCCTATAACCTAAGTTGGATATATATGCACACGATGAGCCAATAAAATTCAAAATCGGTTCAATAGTTTGGGCGTCCATCGCGAACCAACATCGTGACACGAGGTTTATATATATATATATATATATATATATATATATATATATATATATATTGATAAACGCAATTCATTCTACCTTTTACATGATAGTTACCAGCTAATTTTTGATTTTATCAAAAAAACTAAAAATTAATTTGTTATCTCCTTTATGATATTTTTTACAATTTTGTTTATTTCTGTTCAAACTTTTACATGTTTTGCATTTTCCTTTTGATTAAATCCATTTCAACCACTTCGTCTGCATTTGTCGAGTCTTTTGCTCGATATGGGCGTGTTTCATGCGTCATAATGTTACATTTCAAAACTTTTTTCAAAACGTTTTTAATCTTGTAGTTTTTCATTATTTTTCTTCAAAAAAAATGTCTTTTTTCTAATATGTTATAAGTTTAATTTTTCAAAATAATTTTTCTTTGAGTGTTTTTGCCCTGTGGTATGTATAATGTTTCTCTATGTATAATCTATAATTAATCTATATTGGTTTTTATCATTAGTAAATAAATTTTCAAATTGTTGTAGTTGCTGAATGATGACGCGCATCTTGTGTCCAAACGTATAAATAAAAGTTTTTAATACTTTGTACCTTTTTTATTTCGACTTTTTATATATATATATATATATATATATATATACTAGATGACCCAACGACTAGAAAACGTTGTCCAATCCATGTCTACAATTTTTATAATATAATATACTAATATTTGCCGTTTACCTAAAAATAATAATTATTGTTTTTTTAATTACTCTTCGCGCAAAAATGCATATACATTTATAATATGAGCGATGTTAAATGTAGAACTGCTTTTCATGAAATGATGTGTCTCAATTGCCACATTAAGCATAAGAATATATATCTTATATATAAAAATAAATCGCAAAATATGTTGGTAAGCGCATAACTCAACAACGCCGGGACCAATTTGGTCAATTCTTTTTTTAAAATGTTCGTTCAAGTCCAAGGATAGTTCTTACAGCAAGAAAAAATCGAATAATTGCCGCAAAAACCCTAAAAACAGCCCTTTTTTTTCATATACAAACGTTTTCTAACTAAAACGTGGAATCAATTGGAGCTTTATTTTGTTTATAATGCGTAAATAAATAAGGTTAAGTTTAACCTTCTGCTTATTGTGCGAATTATAAAAAACACTTTCATTAGACTTCATTTTTGCTAATTTGCAAATATTATTAAAAAAATGAGTTTTTTTTTTAAAAAAAATATGAAATCGATATCGCAGTTTGTTTTAGACGCTCTTTCTAGACTTAGCAGTTTATTGTACGAAATTCTCAAGTTTATTGAGTATACCATGCTTTAGATTTATGGAGATTATTTACTTGGATTTGATATTTCAATAGCGAAAAATCAAAAATAAATTTCTGTAAAAAAGGTTTTATAAACGAGTCAAAAGCAATGTTCTGATAAAATTGGTTACACGACTCATTTTCTAATAATTTTTTTAATAAAAGTTTATTATTGTTGCTGAAATTTCTGTTATATTGGTAATTAATAAATAATGAAGTCGTGTTATTTAATAATGATAGAAAAATAACGTAGTAATCGGAAAGACCCGTATTATTGAGAAATGTTTTTAAATCATGTAAGTTTGTAAAAAAAATTATCATTGGTGAGCACCGATCCATATAATTTGTGAATCCCACAAAGCAAGGAACACGAGCTGAAATTTTAACTGAGGTATACTTCTGACTGCATTATGTCTAAAATAAATGATCTCACATCAGAGATCGAAAGCTCAAAACCAAGTCGTAAAGACAACAGCGAGAGCAAGAGATCCAGTAACCACTCAAGGAACAGGCAAGGTAGGTCAAAAACACCTACCAAATCATATGTGTGTGATTACTACAATAGGTTTGGAAAAAATGCAAAAAAGTGCATAGAACCGTGCCTTCTTAAATCACTGCTGAATCCGGAAAACTAGCATCACCATCAACATTAGGAGCTGCATGCAATGATGGTGATACAAATTCTGTCTGTTCAGAGCTCCGATTAAGTATAACAGACAGAAAATCCAGAATACAATTCCTTATTGACACTGGATCTGTTCTATCAATACTCCCAGCTAGCAAGTTTGCAACCGGACATTCCAAGGAAGATCTTGTTCTGTATGCACCCAACTCCAGTCGTATACCTACTTATGGAAAGAAGACTTTAGAGCTGGATTTATCATTACGCAGAGCTTTCACTTGACAATTCGGCGTCTCAGATGTGGCAACAGCCACAATTGGTGCAAATTTTCTCAGTCACAACGTCCTAATTGATCTCAAAGGAAGAAGATTGATTGATCCCTCTACAGACTTAACCTCTGCTGGAAATGTTCTGAAAGCTGATAATATCAACATTTCCACAATAGATCCCCAGCAACCGTTCAAGGATCTACTAACTAAATATGTATCTTTCACTAATACACCACACAAATTAACTATTAAACAGTCTCATTTTGCACACAGAATCTTTACAACAAGTCTACCAGTTGCTGCCAGGTTCAGGAAGATTTTTGGTGAAAAAGCTATAGCAGCAAAAGCCGAAATTCAAAATCTCCTAAACATGGGCATTTTAAGACCATCAAGCAGTTCGTGGGCAATCCCTATTCATATGGTGCCGAAGAAGAATGGAGCATATAGAATTTGCAGTGACTAGAGGAAACTGAATGCGAGCGTATTACCTGATAAGTATCCTCCACCATTAATACAGGATGTTGTTCCAGTATTACACAGGAAAAAAATATTCTCTACATTAGACCTCGCCAAAGCTTATCATCAAGTTTTGATGCATAAAAAGGACGTTCAGAAGACAGCCATAATAAACCCATGGGGATTGTTTGAGTATATCTGCATGCCGTTTGGATTGAAAAATGCTACTCAGACTTTCCAGCGATACATAAATTACATTTTTCAAGATATTGACTTTGTGTTCGTATACGTGGATGACATCCTGGTCATGTCTGAGAGAATGGAAGAGCATCATCGTCACCTTGAAATAGTATTTGAGCGACTTCAAGAACACTCACTTGTCATCAACATTGAGAAATGGGTCATGGGCAGGGATGAAGTAGATTTTCTGGGATACAAACTTTGTGCAAATGGCTATTCTCCATCATCACACCGAGTGGATAAAATTTTAAACTTTCCAAAACTAACCATAGTTCTGGAACTATGTAGGCTTCTAAGAATGGTAAATTACTACAGGAAGTCAGTACCAAAGGCAGCAAAAATACAATTACCCTTAAACAATTACCTACAAAGTTCAGCGAAGAAGAACAAAGCTCCAATTGTCTAGAACCCAGAATCTGTTAAGGATTTTGATGACATAAAGAAAGCACTTGCAAATGCAGCACTACTTCGATATCCAGATGCTCCATCCAATATGTGCTTGGTGACGGATGCCTCTACAACAGCTTTTGGTGCTGCTCTGGAGCAGGAAGAAAATGGTGCCTGGCAACCCATCGGTTTCTACTTCAGAAAACTAACAACAACAGAACAGAAGCATTCAACATATTTTCGAGAGCTACTTGGCATATTTGCTGCAATAAAGCATTTTAAATATTTTTTGGAATAAAGATATTTTAAAATCAAGACTGATCACAAGCCAATCACATATGCATTTTAGCAAAGATTTGAAAAGGCTTCAGATAGACAGAGACGACATTTAGAATATATTTTCCAGCTCTCACTGAAATTGTATATGTCAAACGTTATGAAAACATTGTAGCAGAATGAATTGAATTGAACCCTTTCAAGAATAAATACAATAAAAATGCCAATAACGAAATTGTCAGCTGA